GAACCGTTGTAAGTCCGGAGCGAGGTATAATAAATAAAGATGTAGCGATATTCTACTAATTAGCAGCATAACGCCTTGGAATTCCGGTAATTTTCTGCTGATTAGCAGCATAACGCCTTGGAATTCCTGGACAGAGAAACTCACGTGATTGAAAATTTACACGTTATTTCCATAGATCATCATAGTGCATAAACATATATAGTCCTCCGGACAATAACTTACTCCCTAGATTATTTAATAATTTTTTAAATAAAGAAAAGCATGGTTAAAAATCCATTTATTGGTTTAATTTCACGTGATGATCAACATTTTTTAGCCAATAAAATTCTAACTAAAAAAATCGATTTTATTACGATAAGTCGATAAGTATTACGATAATTATTACAATGAATACATATTAGAGATTAGTAATATCTTGTAGTGTTCGATGTGAGTTTGTAAAAGAGAGAGTTTGATTTGAAAACTCTAGAAATATCAGTTGTTAGAATTTAGAAATTAAAAATATTATTATAATATAATATTTTTAATATACCTAAAATTCTTTTTTGTAATTCGGAGTCAGTTCCAATTTTCGATTTATAACCATCAGTCTCTTCAAGTTCACAATTATCTTCATCCATTTCTTCATTAATATCCAATTCTAATTGAGCTTCTTCTAAATGTAATCTTTGGTTATATGAATTTGTCAATTCATTGATAGATTTATCTAAGTATTTATAACAATGTTCACACTTTAAACCTAATACCTGAAAACATTCTTCATGATATGCATGGCCACATATCAAAACTTCACCTTCTGAATCACTTGTTGATTTTTTACAAAATTTTTTGTCACAAAATTTTTTCATATTCGGGGGTATAGGAAAATGGTATCCAAGAGGTAAAGCACCAAAAGGAAAACTTGTAGGAATAGATGTAAAATAATAATAGGGCTTCTTGGTTCGTTTTCCTTCCATTTTTTTTTCTACCTTACCATCATTTTTCCAAATTTCATCAAAGAAGTTTAACAAAAAAAGAGCAGTTCTTTTGATCATTTCATCCAAATCTTTTTTTTTATATGGATAATCCCTTTTTGGTACAAATGATGTAGCAAATAAATTTTCATTTCGGAAGTTATCAATGAAAAGGGCATCGCGTCGAAGAGATTTACTTGAAGAAACTTTTGCTGTGGTATGTCTTCGTAAAAGACTGTGAAAATTTTCAATAATATATTCATCAAACATATTCAATAATAGGATGGCCTATTGATTTCCAATAATATACATCAGACAAAAAGGCAAGAAGAATTTTATCATAGTTGTGTCGTTGAAATCTCCTCATCATACACCATAAACGATATATCGTATCAATATATTCATCAAATTTGTTATTTCGAAAGAGAACTGTATAGATATCTAGCGTTGCTGGAATAAGATTATCGAGTAAATCAAAAAATGTTCTATATCCAGTAATCTTTGTATTACCAAACCTTGCTATTACAAGATGTTTTATAAGTTTCCATCCTGAATTCGCTAAATACATTAGTAAATTTATACGCCAAGGTTTAGGTTTAGATGCAAGTTTTTTTTTAGCATCAAATATTGTTAAATATAATTGATTAAAAAAAGACCAAAAAACAAGGAAAACAGATTCACGGCTATTAAGTGAGACATGTAATGGACCGAGAAAGGGAATTAGATGTGTAATGTTATTTGATGTTGGGACATTATTATTCGATTTTAAAATATTAACAATTGCTCTTCTTATGAACAATTGTCCTGGAAAATCTGCAGGAATAGGAATGGTATATTGTCTTAAGTAGTTTACTATTTCGGGTAATCTTTAAAAAAATAATTATTGTAAGTAATTTTATCATTACAAATAAATTTCACAACACATACTCAATAAACGATTGAATTGCTTGAATATAATTATTAGTATTTTTTAATGGTAATTCTAATAAGTCTACAAGTTTTGTTTGATCAAATTTTCGACCATATCTTTCCCATAAATCAGCATCATATGAATGTATAGTTAATGATTCCATTAACTCGCCCTCATAATAATTATCCCAGTTAAATTTAACCGAATTATAACTTTTTCCTAAAGAAATAAGATGTGTAGCCCACAGTGCTTCTTTAAGAATGAATGGATCTACCCCATTTGGATTATGTATAGGTAAATGATTATTAGTATAATAAGGAATTGGTGATGCTTCGCTAGTATTAAATAACACAGTAGCCATATGTGATATCTGATCTTTAGATGTTACAGTAGGAATTCGTGTACTATGTAAATTATGATAGTCATCAATACAGCCTATTATAAGTTTATTACGCTAAATAAATTATAGAATTATTTTATTAGTTGAGAGCATATATAAAAAATACAAATTCTATTTTTAACTTACTTGTCTGTAAATATATGCTTGCACGCTATGTTGGTGATTATTTACAATAGTTTCTAGTTTATTGTATAAGGTTTGATATGTTGAACAGATTCCCATATTTGCTAAAGCATTAATGCAAGTTACTGATGCACCTGAATTAATTAGAAATAATCCAATCGCAGTTTTGGTGCCACTAACTTGTTTATTTCTCATCGCCGCGATTTGATAAAAAAGCAACATAACCTTTTGCTTTAATAGTTGTTGTGTTTGTAGATTTTTACCTTCAGGATTCATAGATTGAAAAACTATGTCAAAAAATCCTTTAACTCCCGGATCATGACTTACAATCAATTCTTCAAATTCTTTTGCATCCCAAACAGGTAAATTTTTTTCGCGAAAATATTTATATAAAATATTTGTAATCCGTTCGATTTTGTCTGAGAAAAACTCTGAAAAATTTGTTGATTCTAATGATATTTTAATAAAATGATTTAATTTTAATCTGAAAATTTATAAAAAAAAAAAAAATTACCTGATTCTCTTGCCTTTTCTATCTGATTTAATTGAGATCCTAAGTCTTCTAATTGTTGCATAAGTCCATCTACAGTATTTGTTACATTTAAAAGGTGTTCATATCTTTCTTGTGATAAAGAAATTTTTCGTTTTCCTTCTGGATAATATGATAAATCAGTGTTTTTTCTTTTATTTTGTGATTTAATTATTCCTCTATCATAAACGATGAAATTATTGTAATGAAGTTGACATAATTGATCGTTAAGGTTAAGTTTAAGCGTTAGTTGTTGAGCAGCAGGACTTTTTATTGCTTTAGCAAGTAAGTTTTCAGTCAGTTTTCTAAATTTTTCTCCGGAATTTTGTTGACCACATACAGCACAAGGACCATTATTCTGACGTGACTTTCCTTTAACCATTGCTATTAGGTAAAGTTTAAACCAAAATGGGATCAGAGAAAACTATTTTGGGATCAGTGTAGTAAATAGAACACTAAACCTTCTCACAAAATTTTAGGTACTATTACTTTGCATTTTCGCGTGACTTTACTAAGCACACTTTTTTTTGCTCTTTAAAGTAACGTGTCCAATATAATTGCCGATCACTTTAATTGATTACATCATACATTTATTATCCAATAAAATGGATTCTTAACCATGCTATAAAGAAATTAGTTAGTTTAAATAATAAATAAGTAATAATAGAATTAAATAAATAACTTAGTATAACTTACCAACTAAAATAAATTACAAAATAATTTTTAATTAAAGAAATTAGTTAGTTTATATGTAATTATTATATAAATAAGTAGTAATAGAATTAAATAAATAACTTATGACTTACAATCTACTAAATAAATAAATTATTTAGTTTAAGTTATATGTAAGTATTACTATATAAATAAGTAATAATAGAATTAAATAAATAACTTATAACTTGCCAACTAAAATAAATTACAAAATAATTTTTAATTAAAGAAATTAGTTAGTTTAAATTATATGGTATTATTATATAAATAAGTAATAATGGAATTAAATAAATAACTTATAACTTACGATCTATTAAATAAAGAAATTAGTTAGTTTAAATTATATAAATAAAAGAAATATAAATACCATATATTAAACTTACACCCTATAGTATTATTAATTATTAATTAGTTAGATATAAATATAATATAAAAATATTTACTGTAAGTTAATATATATTACTTACAATCTAGTTATTTAAATTAAGAATATAATTAGTTGAATTATTATATAAAATATTAAACAAATAAATATATAAATATATTGTAACTTACCATCTGTAATATAATTAATTATTAAATAGTTATTTAAATAAAGAATTTAGTTATTTAAATGTTATGTAAAATAAATAAAGCAAAGAATTAAAGATTTAAATAACTGATAACTTATCAACTATAGTATTATTAATGATTAAATAAATTATTTAGTTATATGGAAATACAAGAGTAATTTAATTATTATTCAATTATATTAACTTACGAGCTAAATATTTAATATAATTTTTATATATTATAGTTAGTTTAAATTATATTTGTATATTATATAAGGTACAATTATAAATAGTATTTGAATTATAAATAAAATTTTAATATTTCAGATTGTTTGATATACCTTTAGATTCCTCGGTACCTTCAAGTACTTCAATATTACTGGAAACTAGTTTTGTAATATTGCAAATTGGGTTTAATTATATTTGATTATTTACAATTAAATTTTTTTAATAAATAAAAGAATTTTTCTAACTATCACCGGGGGTGATGATCACCGGTGACTGAAATTATGACAATCGACCAGCATTAAAAGAATATAGTGCCTAAGGTTGCTTGCCGAAACCTAGGGGTTTAGGCAAGATGGCGTTTCGCCGAAAAGCGAAATTCTGCCGAAACTATATTAAAGTTATATTAAAAAACTGGCGAAACTTTGGAGAAAGGCGAAACTGCCAAAACTTATTATAAATGCCGAAACTGCTGAAACTCTGCCGAAACTATAATAAATCTATAGTAAAATTTTGACGAAACTAATCGTAGGATTTTGAAGAGGTTTAGACAAGCAACCTTAATAGTGCCGGTAAAAATTGATAATTCTGGCCAACGGTGATGATCACCCCCGGTGATTTGAAGTAAAAACCTAAATAAAAATCTAAGTTTGTTTTAAAAATTTTGAATAATTCTAAATCTATATTATATATTTATGCTATATACTTACCATCTGTAATATCTGTAATATAATTAATTATTAAATAGTTATTTAAATAAAGAATTTAGTTATTTGAATGTTATGTAAAATAAATAAAGCAAAGAACTAAAGATTTAAATAACGGATAACTTACCAACTATAGTATTATTAATCATTAAATAAATTATTTAGTTATATGGAATACAATAAAAATATATAACGAGTAATTTCATTATTATTCAATTATATTAACTTACGAACTAAATATTTAAATAGTTAGTCTAAATTATATTTGTATATTATATAAGGTATAATTATAGATAGTTTTTGAATTGTTTATAAATAAAAATTTAATATTTCAGATTGTTTGATATACCTTTAGATTCCTCGGTACTTTCAAGTCCTTCAATATTACTGGAAACTAGTTTGTTATAATGCAAATTGGGTTTAATTATATTTAATTATATACAATTAAATTTTTTAATAAATAAAAATCTAAGCTTGTTTAAAAATTTTGAATAATTCTAATTTATATTATATATTTATGCTATATACTTTACCTTTACCAATACATTGATCCATTACTATATTAAAATTTTCTCTAATTGGAAGAGATAAAGTAAATATCTTTAAACGCCTTTATTAGTGTAAATATGGTAAAATAAATAAATAAATTTAATTTATTTATTTATGTGCACATTTTTTTTGTGCACAATTTTTAAAATTTAATGTGCACAAAAAATTTTTTTATACAACTATTGGTAATAATATTTATGATTTGTAAAAAATAATGATCACAACAAGACCACGAGCAATCATGCATATCCTGGTTATTTGCTTAGAATGAGCCAAAATCATGTAGATCACCTCCATTTGTGGATAATGCCGACCAGCATTACATAGTGCCGGCCCGTAGAGCTAATAGTAAATGTGTGCTGATCTCCCCTGACCTATATATATGTACTGTACAACTTGGGGTCCTATCACAACCACTGCATATATATATACATCATCAAACTTTATTGTTACATAGTAAAAATCATAGATCAGGTAAAATACATAATATATACCATTAAAATGATCAGCAATGATGCTATCGTATTAATTTTTTTCGTGTACTATATTCAAAAACCAGTATTAAGATATCTTTCCAAATTCTAAACAAACTTTTAGAGCAGTTAATAATATTACTAGTATAGGATTTTAAGGCCTTATTTTAAAAAAAACTTAATTTGATTTTTTGAAAAATGTTATGCGGTAGGGATGGTCACGAAATTAAAGTCTATATTTTTCGAATATTTCGGTTTCGGATTTAACCGAAATAGTGAAATGCAGTAAAGTTTCTGAAATACTGAAATTTATCCGGAATGCGTCAATCACTTCTTAAAACGTCGAAATTAACAAAGAAAAAACCAATGGAATATTCATTAAACAACTTAATTTGGTACATTAAAAAAACTTTTAGTAATACTAATTAATTTTATTTCATAGAATAGTAATCTCAAAAAATTTAAAAATTTATATTTCTCAGTTAAACGTTAACGAAACTTTTTATACCAATACCAATTTTTTTTTCGTTCATATCTAGTAAAATATTTAATTTTATAATTTTTTAGGATGAGGATGAATTCTAGAACATCATCATAAGCAATTTTTATTACTCTGTAACGAAAATATAGGAAATTTGTTTTTTCTTGATGATTATTACAGCACGTTTCAATAAATTTCTTTTCGCTCATTATAATTTAGAATTCTGTTTAATGTTTTTCCTACATAAAAAATTAAGAATGTGGTAGGGTATCCCTAAAATTTTACACCTTATCATCCCTTAGCGTTGTCCAGTTTATCCACATTATAAAAAAATTAAAAAATTAAAAAATACTTCATATTTAAATTACAATAAGTATAAGGCCGGGCAAAAAAAAATTTAGATTCTCGTGACATAAAATTTTAAAAATGACCCGGCCGGCCGGCCGGCATTTTTTTTTATATTTGTAAAATTTTTTCATATGTAAAATTTTTTTACGCCATATTGGCCAATAACTTAAAATCACGTGATAAAATTTTTTACTATAAAAAAAAAATTTCCATTTTTCGAAAAACTGACCCGTCCGGGTCACGAGAATCTAATTTTTTTTTGCCCGGCCTATGGATATGAGAACAACCTACCACAGGAGACTTCCCAAGTGCACTATGCTCCCTATAAAAAAATTACGCATAATTCCGATCCTATCGGTGGACTGCTACAAAAGTTAGTACCCACGAGCTTACTAGAAGCAAAAGTAATTTGAACTCTATTAACAGCCGTGGTGCTTAATCATTTGTATATAATTAACGAGAAAGTACGAGATTTTCAAAGTGGATCAAATTAAAGTCAACCGTCATGTACTCACGTCGTGCGCCGTGCGGAATTAATTAACGTGTGTAAAATATAAATTTATTTATTTATGCAATAAATTATTATTAATAGATAATATTAAGTATACAATATAACGATAACTACGATAAACTACGATAACTAAAACTTACTAAAACTATTACTGTATTAAAACTAATAATTAATAATTATCTTTAAGCCTATCAACACAATTAATATAACCATATTCTAAATCCCTTTCAAATGATTCTAAAATAATTTTACTTAATTCTTTAAAACGATATTGAGCTATATGACTATAACGACCACGATTTTGTTTAGAAGCTTTAAAATAAAATTTAATAGCATCTTCAAAATTTCCAATTTTTTCATAATATTCACCAAGATAAGTTTGACTCATAACAAAACCAATATTTGAAGTTTCTTCTAACATTTTAAAACCTTTTTGTTTTTCTTTTTCATCATTTTTATTAATTAAAAATCTTCCTAATTTAGCTTTTGCATATAAATTATTATTATCAAAATCAACAGCTTTTTTAAAATAATATTCAGCTTGATAATCAACTTTTTTAATACCATTAATATCAGATTCATAAAGTAAACCAAGATTATAAGCTGAAATACTATCACCTAAATCATAAGATTTTTTATACCATTTAACAGCAATTTTTAATTTAATATTTGATAATTTATTAACTTTTAAATCACTTAATCTTGAAATTTTAGTAAGATTATCCCATTCAAAAGGTTTTATAAAATGACTATTATGATAAATTAAAGCCATATTTCTCATAGCAATTCTAGATAATTCTTTATCTTTATTAGATTTAGATTTTTCTAATTTATTTATAACTTCTTTAAATAAATCTTTTGCTCTTTTTGGATCAAAACGTAATTTACCAATAGAATGCATATAACCTAAACATAATTTTGCTTCAATAGAACCCAATTTTTCAGCTTTTTTATACCAAGATTCAGCTTCAAAATGATTTTCATTTGGACCTTTCATATAATAACCAGCTAAAGCCATCTTATATTTTATATCATTATTTTTTTTAGCATTTTCTTTCCATTCTTTTAAAACTTTATCATTAATTTGATAAGAATGATTATTATTATTATTATTATAAATGTTTTTTATAAATACTTCATAAGTACCATCACCTTTTATAGGATCACCATCAACCAAATTTTTAATAGAATCATCTTTCATCCAATCAAGAAAACTTTTATTTAAAATACCAGGATTATTAGTACTATTCATATGATTACCTTTACCAGTAATAATGAAAATGGAAACATTATTAAGATAAGGAGAATTTTTAATTTTTGTTATAACTAAACGTCTAGCTTCATCAACAGATTCACCTTCATGTAAATTAATTCTAGCAGTAGATAAAGAAATTTTTGGATTTAATAAAGAAGTAGTATTTCTACATTCATAATAACCTAAAAAATCATTTTCTTTTTTTCTTTGTTTATCTTTTGAAATGAAATTTTTTATATCTTTTTTAACATTACGTAATATATCAGTAGGATTTGGTATCTTTTCTTTAATAGATATAAAAATATTTTTCTTTTTTTTATTATTATTATTATTTGGAGTTAAATTTGAAGGAAAATTTTCATCTGTAGGTGAAAATGTTAAATTTATTGTTGAAGGAGATCTTGAACTAATGGATTTAAATGATTGAGCATCTAAACTTAAAGTATCAATAGATAAAGTTTCGGAACTTGTACTAGAAAGTACGATAGAAACTCTTTCACTTCTTGGTCTTGTTAATATATTCTCATTATTTGATTCCGTTAATATATTATCTGTCATTGTAGTCATTTTATATGAAACGTCGTACAAACGAAATTTTGTAAAAATTGTAACGTGTTAAAAGTGGAAAAAAAGTATTAATTATTTTTTTTAAAAAAAAAAAATATTTAAAAAAAAGGCGTGACAAAAAAAAAAAAAAATTATT